AAGACTACCCTGTCGAAAAACCGAAGAAGAGTGACTAAGGCCTCAGCTAGAACTAGCGTAAAATAATGCTCTTATCCACTTCAGACAAAACAGTAAGTAGAGCGTCATCATGGAGAGAATAAAAAATGTACTAGATGCAGAAGTCTGCCAGGCGGAACAAGCTGGATTCAGGAAAGGCAAATCGTGTGCTGATCCAATTACAACTCTACGCATTATCATCGAACAAGGTATGCAATGGCAGTCAAACCTCTCTCTACCTCAGCAGCTCTACTGACTTCAAAAAAGCCTTCGACAACGCTGCCACGAAGTAATTCTGAAACTGCTTCAACACTACAGTGTGCAGTACTCAAGTCTTTATCAATCTCATTCAACATTTGGCTAAATGACAATGCCATGTGTCAGGTGATGCACAACGGAAAACTCAAAGAATCTTTTGAAGTGAGTACAAGGGTAAGACAAGCTGGCTGCCTATTATCACCAATGATATTCCTAATTGTGGTAGACTGTATTATGCACCAGACTGTGGGGAGTGAGAAGACAGGAATACGCTAGACTGGAGGCGAAATTAAGTATTTTATCCTTATTTTTCGGAAGTAAAATTGAAACACAGTCATTTCTTACTTTCTGGATAGTAAAGTTTATTTCAGGATGGACGTCATTATATTATATTTTTATCGTTTCGTTTTTATTTTTCATAATGACAAACGTTATGACGATAGAACTCCATTTCATCCATCACCCCTCTCAAAGGTCAATTTTCTTTAATTTCGCGAGGAGAACATCAGCTAACAATGAACATATTGGTGACCCCAAAGCAGCACCAACAATTTGTCTTCTAAATTTTTCTTCAGTGCAGGAACCACATTTCAATAACTTTTAAGGCATTTTCCGCCAATCTTAAAAAAACATAGCGAGAAGTTCAGCTTACAAAAGAATCAATTCAAATTAATTCAAAAACTTCATGCAATTCTCCCCATTAATAAACTTGAACAAAGCAAGAACAACAATTGTATCAGGATAATATGAGCTCATCTTCTATTATTTCGAGGATTCTTCTCAACTGGTTACAACCTGAACGATGAAAAATATGAATTACATTACATTAAAGATTTGAACATACTTTTCCACGATCACAAGGAGTAATTGGTAGGAAGTAAAAGTAACATTAGTCCGAAATGATTTAACTAATTAGGAGTTACATACACTGACTATTTATAGAATAATTCAAATGAACTGTGATCAATATTTGACATTTTATAAATATTTATAGAATAATTAGGCAATTAGGCTTGGAAACAAAAACAAGCTGTTATATATTTTTTGTTGTCACCAGGGCAGTGCAAAATTCACCACTGTCTCTTTCTGCGTACATAGATTTGGTTTAAGTCGTCTGATAGCAATTGCTTCAGCAAAGCGTAGCAAGTTAGGTTTCTTTTGCTTGTTGATTATTTTGAATGACTTCAAGTTGTCTACATTATGACCAGTGTCTAATTAATTAATTAATAAATTAATAATCTATTTTTCCAAATTCAATTTTATTTTCGGTATTTAATTTGATTTTAATTGTTAGATTTCTTCACGAATCAACATCACTAAGCGATCAGAGAATTCCATAGTCATTTCATCCTACCAGTGACCCTGACAGGGCTCGAATCCGGGACCTTAAGGTCACGAGATCAAGCTCGTTGATCTTTCAGCCGCTTGTGCTAGAATTCACTGACCCGTGAATTCTAACTGTATCAATTTTTGATATAGCGCCATCCACAGCTAATGCCACTGATGAAAATCCACTTCATCTTGATACGGTGGTTATAGTTACGAGTTCTCCGGACAGCTTCAGGATATTCATCCAGTAGTCATCAGCAACTGACGACTGATATTCAGATAATATAGTGTTTGGGGAATTAGGATTAATTTCAATTGAGACTTTGTTATAGATCCAATCGCTGATGTTGGTGCGTGGGTGTGCACCAGTGAAGAGTTTCGAGCTAGAACGGAATATCCATCCAGTACCCTCTGGTTTTTTCGGTGATCTCTAACCGGTGCTGGTTCGTGACGAATTCGAAGTTGAAACTAATCCAAACCCTCACAAATCCTATAATTAAATCTAATGCTGAGAGTAGAGGAAATGTAATGTAATGAAGTAAATGTTTTAAACGAAATATCAGATGGGTATAATAATTAGAAAAATAGCTTCATCATCTTATTACCAAAATATGCCATTCATAAGTCCTTATATTGCCTTTTTATACAAAAGATGTAATTTTAATACACATTATAGTACTGCTACTTAGGAAATAGGTTTTTTCATCCTTCACGTTCCCCAGTGGAACATAGGGCTTCAACCTGGTGGCTTGAAGTTTCTGTAGCATTGTTTATTTTACAGGATGGGGTTGCCAGCCTCATGCCCAACCTTTCCTCTTCGCCAGCATTATTTCTGGCTTAACGAAGTAAAGGAAATAGGTTTAGCCTAATAAAAATATATTTGCATTTTTTGGTTGACTTTAACTTAACTATACAGTTGCTTTTAACAATTTATAAGTGAGTTCCAATTAAGTTGGCTTCTCTATCTACAAGTAGTTTTTTAGTGAATCTAATTTTTACATTCTGGTTGTGATTCTCCACATTTGACTCACAGAACAGCAGATTCATTAATAATCCAATATATGTGACTATATGTGAAAAACACAATCATATCGTGTAGATTAATTTCAAACTGTCAATTGCAAGACTCCATCCAAACAAAGTTATTTTGGCTGTGAATACCATAAAGACATTAAAACACGCTGAGAATGTATCAAAGTGGTTATCAATCTAAGAATGTATCCTTATAATTGTGGTGCAGTATAATGTCACTATAATCAGCGGGATGACGCTTGGCGCATAACTTTTTCACGCAATTAAATCACTAGCATATATACATATATTTTTATTTATTTATTTATTTTGATTACAGCTTGATTCTACACTGCATTTTCAGTACAAGTATGGAATTTTCAGCATGGATATCGGTAGCCCAAATTTCGCAGGCCGACCATAGATATCGGGTGTGCGCCGGTAGGGGATTGAACCCCGGACCATGTGCATGATCGGCGAGAGTCCTAACCACTGTGCCACCGACACTGGCTTACTCTAGAACTGTGGCAAAACTGAACATATTTTTTACACTCAAGTGAAATCTTTTACCAGAAGAAATATTCACTTGGAGAGTGCACAAACAAGTGCAGAACACATTAAACGAAAATCGATATTGTTTGAAATTATTCATCAGAAATAAAAATTGGTTCGAGAACGACCGAAAGTGAAATGGCTGTGAAGAGGTGTTTTGTTTCAGTTGGTGATTTCGCCATTATTATTTTCATCATCGTACTTAAGTAAATAAATCACTGCGTCTACCCCAGAAAATGTTCATATGCTTATCGTATTGGGATTTTCGACCGGGTTTTAAAAATCAAAGGGTACAAACCTTAGCTCATTTCTTATTAATTAAAATTATTTTGAAAGAAGAGAACACGAAGTTCAGCAAAGATATCTTTTCAGCGATTTCATTTTCAAAAGCTGTACAATCGCATTTACATACATAATTCTACATGGAGACAATTCTTGTTTGATTCTACATAATTATGACGGCGAATAAAAGGTGATAATTATTTCCAACTAGATATGGCTTCCACGAGAGGCCTAGAAACAAAATTACACAGGATTAGAACGGATATCAAGTGTGTAAAAATGAGCATGGAAACAAAAATTGATATAATAGTTTTAACTTAAAATGGAAGTTAGGAGGTTAAGTTAAGGTTTTAAGTTAAAACTATTATATCAACTTTTGTTTCCATGCTCATTTTTTGCACACCTGTAATTCGCTAAATCCCATGTAATTTTGTTTCTAAGGCTCTTGTAATCTATATTCACACTTCCTAACTCCCATCTCAAGTTGAAAATTATTATTTCAGTTTTGTTTCCATGCTCATTTTCTATACCCCTGTAATTTGTTGTAACCCTGTATAATTTCTAAGGCTCTTGTAATTTATATTCTCACCTCCTGATTCCCATCTCAAGTTGAAAATTATTATTTCAATTTTGTTTCCATGCTCATTTTTACACACTTGATATCCGTTCTAATCCTGCGTAATTTTGTTTCTAAGCCTCTCGTAAAAACCATATCTAGTTGGAAATAATTATCACCTTTTATTCGCCGTCATAATTATGTAGAATCAAACAAGAATTGTCTCCATGTAGAATTATGTATGTAAATGCGATTGTACAGCTTTTGAAAATGAAATCGCTGAAAAGATATCTTTACTGAACTTCGTGTTCTCTTCTTTCTAATGTCCATATGGGTGTTTTCCACGATCTGGAAATTATTTTGGATTGCCCATTGGCTGACTCCATTGTATCTACATACTCAGTTTATGACTAGTTCGAAAAAGGACTTAAGGCATATCCTGTTTTCCATAGGCGGTCATCATCAACCGAATAACACCATGGTGTTCATTTGTTTTATCCTATTGTTCTAAAAGTATGCATTTGTCTGTTATCAAACATTTCATTTTTTTTTAGTTGCAGCATATATACTGTGGAACAGAGTTCGAAGTAATCTAGAGCTTCATCATTGGTTTTATTGAAGTATTGTTTGACATGATCACTTATTCACAAAATGTCTCACTGTTTAGCATTAAACATTTGCTTCGTATTTTGTGCCAGGATATAGTTCTACTAGAACTTTGAACTGTACAATGACGTCTTGTGAACGTCTAAACCTGCTTAATTAATTAGTTGTTTATTTTGGTAATACGGTTTACACCAATATTATTATTTTTTAAATTGATGCCATAAAAATCTGAAATCACTACATAGACATTTCTTTTCAGATTTAACCAATGAACATACACTGTGGAGATTGGAAATATATGGGAAGATGTATCCTTTCGGTAGGTGGATGCGTGGGAGTTGATTTTACCACTATACTTGAGTAGATTAGTGAGTCTTTTAATCCACATGTAAAAATGCTTTAAATAAACTATGCATACACACAAATATAAATAAGCACACAAACACACACACACATACATATGGAAAACATACTTGACCAATTTCGTGCAATCTGATTAACCAATATTGTGATGGAAACACTTGTAAATAAATAGATATAAACTCTTCACTCTCTACCTGATAACCTTTTACACGAAATCAACAGAAAGATTTCCTAAATGTTTGTTAGTTATCTTGACGATTCTTCATACTGCAAAAATTGCACTACGATTGATGATAATAAAAGTTATACAAGTGGTAAAGCCAAAGAATTATTTCGTTATCTAAAGAAAATCATTTCTTATATTAAAACAAAACATAACATTGAACAACTGGATAACACTTTCCTAGGTCTTTCATGGACTAAATTAAATTCATCATATGACAGGCTGAGGAAATCACTGAATAGCAGTGTGATCATTATGAATACTTTTCTGGTGTCAGTGATACTGAGTAAAATTAACCATAATTCACTAACTGAAACGGATTGTCATAACAAGAATGAGAATGTCGAAAACTTAAAATCTGTAAAATACCCCACAATTGTTGTTGACAACAAGTGTTATACAGCAGTGAACATGAAAAAACACTCCGTACTCCATAAATTGATTCATATTGTACTAATAAGCATGTTGTTCAATGAATCTCTTATAAGCGTCAGTAAAAATCTTTGCATAGATGCTATGCGTCTACCCGAACCAGAATTCGATTTGTCGCCTACATCATCATCTGAGTCAGATTCTCAACGAGTACCTCCACTGTGGATTGATCCACCAGTAGTGAAATTTATTAAAACTCAGAAGGACGATTTAGGCGAAACACTTCAATCAGAAAAAAAGATAAGACAGAGAGTATCATCAATATTTCAAGATAAACAGGCTATACAGAATTTGTTGAGAGAAATGAATGCGTATTACTTAACTTATGGAAGACCAAGGTTAGTTTCATATGTAAATGTAATTTTCGCATAATTAGTTAATTCACTATGCAATTTACATTTAGTTACATGTGATTTATTTTTTATTAACTGATGAATTGAATTTTAAGACGATATATTTAAATTTTTACAGGATAAGACTGGGTCTTTTAACAAATGTTTACAATTAACAGATTTGATAGTTAGTTTAAAGTATACGAAATGTTTTCTTCTCTAAATAAAATGTGTAAGATCAATGTATGCCACTTCAACCACAGTTCTCATACTACGCATATGAATCAGTAGCTGGGATTTGTGTCTACTAGTCAGAATGAATGTAAGCGCATTTTAACTTAGAGGCTTATTTTTGTGAAGTCTACTGACTACAGTCCATTCCTGGCACATCAGACTATACTACTTACTGTGTGTCTCGCACAGAGAACCTCGTATGTGTTTAGTTTTATATTAGAAGTCATAGAGCCACTTTCGGTTGCTGCAATTAAGCACGATCACATCCATTGTATCATAACTGTTATGTGAAACAGTAAAAATAAATGTACAAGGAAGTAAAATTTCCTGGAATGACTACCTTGCTATAAAGTAATTTAATTAGTGTTAAGAAACATCAAGCAGTAGATACAGCTAATAAAAATGTATATGAGACCGTTTGCCATCGGAATCAAATTTAATTACCAACTGTTGTTCACAGTCATTATAATTATTCCCTTGATTTCCACGTTGAACATGGGGCTTCAACAACACATCTCAATTTTAAGGTCAATGAAGTATAACAATTAGTATGTAAGTAACGAGATAATTGTCACAAAAAATATTAATTTTAGGAGATGATGCTTAATAATATTCTAACAGTGTTTACCCACTTTTTTCCAATGCGAAAATTTCCAATTCAGTTATACAACATATCGTTAGAAATGGTTATTGTTTTGTAATTAGTTTCCGAAATTTTTCGAAATAGCTCAAACAGCCAGCAACAGTGTGAGTGATGTGATAAGTGATCAAGGTGATATGATTATGAGCAATAAATTGTGCTTGAAACATGGTCATCGGGAAATATTACTGTATAACACTGTGAGACTTTATCAAAATAAATTTTACTCATAATGGAATTATACTCTACAGCAGTGCACAAGTTTTGTTCTTCTATCAATGATCTACCGTGGGTTAATGGAAAACTACTTTTTCATGTTCCATATTTTTGTACTTCCTCTTTTTATGCTGAATAAACTACTCATGAAACTGCTCAGCTGTTTTCCTTTGATTCATATTTCTTTTAAAACGCCTTAATGCTTGTAGTTTGTTTTATAAACTTTTGATCATACAGACCCAAACAAATAACAGATGTTAGTAAGTTAGGATTTATTACAATCATGTTTAGCTGTATACTTTTCATATTTGGTTATGTTTATCACAAATATGTATCAACGTGTAATAGACGAATGTGAATAAACCACAGAGGAAAAAAGGGACTACTTTAATGAGGAGATGAAATTTTTTTTTTAAGGAAGAGGATGACTGTGAAGAGTTTTAGATTGAAAATTGTATGGATCACGCCACTACTAAAAGTGAAAATTAGTAACTGAATGGATTACGGGCTGTGCTACTCGTACTGATGAAAATTAATACTCTATTCATCAGTGACATTCATTAACTAATGAGTACTTCGAAAAAAAGTGAAATACTGTCAGTTTCAAAGCGTGTTCTGTTTATACTCTGTAAGAAATCTCTGGCAATTATGTTGAGGCTTGTGTTATACTTCTCTTATGTACCATAAGAAATTGTATCAACAGTATTAAAGTAATAGGAGCAGGTCACTGTATTCGTCTGAATTTATACTTCACTTACTCGCATACTGATTTTTAAGCTTAACTGGCTCTTCAGAGTCCAGTATTCAGAGCTAGTCATCACCTCCTGTTTTACTTTTTTTTCCTTCACGTTCCCAGTGGAACATAGGGCTTCAAGCTAGTGACTTGAAGTTTCTGTAGCAGTGTTTTTTATTTTACAGGATGAGGTTGCCAGCCTCATGCCCAACCTTTCCTCTTCACCAGCATTATTTCTGGCTTAGCGAGGTAAAGGAGTGCGTCGGCGTCCGGGGATCGAACCTCGGACCATGTGCATGGTTGGTGAGCGTCCTAACCGCTGTGCCACCGACGCACGCCTAGTTTACTTAGGTAAAGTTAAATGGCTGAGGTAAAGATAATTCGTGGATTTTATCACTGATGTTATATCGGTTTAGTTTTCATAGTAAATTGTGCTCATGCTGCCTGAAATCAATTTTTTTTTACTTTCACCTTATGGTATGAAAGCATTTTGTTACACAACTGTCATGGATATTTTAAAACATAAGGAAAAAGCCTTCAGCTGTATGTTGCTTAGATTAGAATATTTTAATTAATTTTTATTAACAGTTAAAATACTTCAAAGATTCTGATTAGGTTTCCTTAAGAAAGTTGACTGTCAGCATCGCATACAACAGGTGTATGTAGACACATAATATGCTCTATTTTACACACATAAGAATAAACCTCGTAACTGATCTGAAAATGGCAGATTTCTTCTTTATATTTACTTCTGGAGATGTGTTTCGCGTCAAATCAGTTTAACCTTCTAAATATACGTGAATATTTGTCCTTTTTTAATTAAAATTTGACATCCGTCCCTTCTTGCTCTACATGTAAAAGACTGAAAATATTTGTATTTTATTTGAATGAATGGAGCAGATTAACTTTTTGCAATTGGTAGTATTTAACACTCACGAAATGATGCAGTTATGGGCTACAATTCATGGTCGAAGCGTCGTACATTTATTAACACTAATACCGTGTGTTATATGAGACAGACCCATCGAATACGGGATTATATCCTACCACAGTGCCCAAGCTCTACAGCTGGAATCTTACAGATTAAGTAATGATGCCATCTGTCTTATACTAACTGAAAAATGGCATACATATATTACTGTCAGTTTATCACTTATGTTTCTGATGTTTACGGGGACAGTTGAATACAGAGGTCAAACACAAATGGGTTTGCTGCATAGTATTAAGTAGATGTGTTGAACAATACTCAGGAAAATAGTTCAATACAATTTTTATTGATTGAAATTTTAGACGGTTAGCTTCCAACCATTTCACTGTGAACAAATGTAATGTAATTTAATGTATCCTATACACATTACTTGAGAAAGGAAGTGGGACAAAAAACAATCTACATGTTTAGCTATATTAAATGAAATACTGAGCAATTAAGTATAGGTTTTATAAATCAATTATTTCGTACCTAATGGTAACAGTGACATAAATAAAGGTTCATTAGAACAGTTTCTATTACTACCATTAATAATAATAATATCCATATAATTTCGACACTTTTATTACCATAGCCATGTTCATAATTACATTTATTATTTAAAAAAGTGTCCATCTATACTTATAAATATTACATACGTTCTACACAATTCACTTCATGCAATAATGTTGACAAGGTTGATTTACGAACAAATATTAGCTCTTAGTTAATGAATAATATATACGTCACTTTCACTAAATTAACCCACCTGTTACTGATATTAAGGAAACAGTTGTTTATAAACTGTTATGGAGATTTAGATTATTTAAAAAACAATAGTCACAGGGGATACTTACTTGTTCACATCGCTAACTTGTATGCTGGAGCTCAATTATAAAATGTTCTTTTTTTAATTACTAAATATTGGATGTGTGTGCGTATGTGCTGGTGCTAATTGATATGCCTAGCTGTATATATACATATATATAGATATATATGTTTCTAAGTGCTGAGAGGAGAAAAGTAAGCAGATAGTACAGAGCGATTACTTTCAATGAAAAGAAATATGAAAACTGCCAGTGCATTAAATGTACCTGGTATTGACCAACATTATGAATTGCATTATTTCTATTCAAAATGAAGTTATTTATATTAAATAACTGAAAAACTATTTTTTTTCACGCTATTCTAAATTACATCCTAACAAAAGAATAGAAAATACAAAATAGCAGATGATCTATGAAGCAATAATCAGTTCAGTGAACAAACGTGAGATGAAGAATAACATTAGAGCGAGTTAGTGAGTTAATTACTCACTACAGTTTTTTTGCCTGCTTACTGTAGTCCTATAATTAGTAGGAAAACCTGTTATCCTTAAAAAATAAGTATTGTTTTTCTTGTAAGCATACGACACTGTGATGAAATATTTTTAGCCTGGAATGAATATACTAAAATGGGAACAAACATTTAATAATAATAATAATCACATATGCACAGTTTATGATGAACAACTAAAAACAGATAAATCCTTGAGTTGAAACAAGTTTACTCGTGAAAATCTCTCTGCTCTTCGAAATACATTATTAACGAGAATGAAAAACACTTAATTTTCGGAAGTTAACTGCGTCGGTGGCATAGTGGTTAGGACGCTCGCCGACATTGCACATGGTCCGAGGTTCGATCCCCAGCCGACCCAATCCTTTACCTCGCTAAGCCAGAAATAATGCTGGTGAAGAGGAAAGGTTGGGCATGAGGCTGGCAACCCCATCCTGTAAAAATAAACACTGCTTCAGAAACTTCAAGCCACAAGCTTGAAGCCCTATGTTCCACTGGGAACGTGAAGGAAAAAAAAACACCATGTACAGTCCTCCAGACCTGCTTTCTTCCTTTTGCAGTATACCGCCACCTTATTTATTCATTTGGATTTAACAGTTGCTTATACAAAGAAATGGAAGTCAAAAAATGAAATGCCGACACAGCGTTTGTATGTAATAGATTTTATTAGTTGTCTGGTACTAAACATAACAGTTTACTCAAAAATAAATATACATGTGGCAAATAAAACAGTTGACTTTCTAACTTTGTAGAGTTCAGTTAATCCTATACTGAGACAGTACAATACGCTGGAGGAGATTAGAACCATTCCATTCTTCCTTTACATAATTATCACTGATTCACTGGTAACTTTGTGCGTTGAGTAATACATCTTCACTATT